CTGGGCGCGCCCCGGGTGCACGGCGCTCCCGGATGCCGGACCAACAGAGAAGGCCTTCGAGGCGACAGCGCACCTCACGTCGAGCAGGCCGGCACGGCTCACGAGCGGCGGACAGATCCCCACACGCGCTCGCGTCCAGAAAGGTTGAGGACGGGAGGCTTTTGGCCGCGTTGGGCCTCTGGGGGGCCCTCGCTGGGTCCCAGGGCCGTACCAGGAGCGACTCGGGATGAGAAACAGGTTCCAGAGAAACAGGCTCCAGGGGAAGGGTCGGGACGTCCGGGGACCGCGTGCAGGAAAAATCGGGGCGTCGCATGTCTGGGTCCGTGTCCGCGCCGGCCGCGCTGTGCACTCCGGGGCGCGATCCCGCCAGTGTGCGGCCGCGCGGCCATCCGCACCGCGCGGGGCATCCGCGAAAGAGCGCACCGTGCATGCACGGGGAAGCGGCCCGAGGGGCCAGCCCGCGAGGCCGCGGACAGGGATGCATGTTTCGCCCGCGAGGCCACGCCAGCGCGAGCACAAGAAAAAGCGCCGGGCAGAAGTCGGGCCACGTCGGATCGGAGGCTCGGCATCGGATGGCATGGAGCCGACGGGGAAAATCGACGGTGACTCGGATCGATCGGATCGACAGGGACCCCGCCGCGGGGCCCGACCGAAATTCCCGTCGATGGGGGGCCGCTCGGGAACGGGCAGCAGAAGGGCGAGTCCAGCCTGCGCTGCGCAACCAAAGAGGCGCAGCCCGCCTGCTTGAGCCGCAGGGCGGCGGGCGAGCGTTTCATCGCCCGCCCCGTGGCTTAGCTGGCGCTCTGCTGAACGGTCCAAACTGTCGCCCGCGCCCAGCGCCAGTCCGACGCGGCGCTCGCTCTGGGGAGAGGGGACGAGAAGGGGGGAGGGAGAGGGGCAAGGGAGGGGGGGAGACATGGAAAAGCAGGGGGAGGGGGAGAGAGCGAGGCTTTCCCAGACATTCCGAACCTTCTTCCGAAACCTGCCGAGGCCCGAGTAAGCTTCTAAGCCTAGTCGGCCCTAGCACGCTGTCGAACGGTGATCGCTAGCTGATCATGGAAAACCCGCCGGAAGAGAGCCGCTTTGAAAAAGACCTCCCGTACCTTGCCGCCCCTCTAATACCGTCCGAGACCCTCCGAGACCAGCCCGCTTATCCCGTCATCTTCCAACAACCGTCCGACACGCCCCCTCACGCACCATGCCTCCCGAACTGTTCGGGACCTTCCGGCGCCTTCCCACGCCCTCCAGAATCTCCCGCCCCAACCCGCGCTCCGAGCAGCCCTCCCAACCGGCGCATGAGGAGGAAAGGGGGAGGGACGGGAGGGCGGGGACAGAAGAAGGAGGGAAGACAAGCTAGGTGCGCAGGCGTCATATGTGACGTCCCTCAAATCCCTTACCATCGCGTAGATCTCCATCATATTCGCAGAGTCGGATGTCGAACAGGGCAATGATCCCGAAAAAGTACGCGAGGCAGAGCATAGCACGGCATAACATGACCTCGCGTCGAGAATGCGACTCATTTCGACAACAAGGTCAGAGGGAAACCAGGAATGACACAGGACGGGGAACTGCAAATAGAAGGTTTGGAAAGCGCGCAGCGTAAAATGCAGCGGGTGCACGATTTCGAAGGACCGAAATCGCGGAAATGAGACGAGCGCTGCAGCGGAACCGCCTGCCCAGGTTTCTCGACTCGGGGATGGACAGAACCCCCGTTAGCAAAACGTGGTTTAGTGAAAACGAACCTCGGGCTCAAACCTGGCGGGCGCCAGCCTCGAAAATGACGGCAACAGCGCCCTCTCGAGAAACGAAAACGGACAATTCACTCATCGACGTGTCAGGGTAGGGGTTCTGTCCACCCCTGATATTTCGACGGAGCGCTTCTCTGTTGACGGAGCTCCACGGCGAATCGCTCCGCACAGTCTGCGATGTACCCGGGCAGCACCACGAAGGGCTTGCGCAGGCCGCGCGGGCCGCGCGGCGCAGCAATCGTCTCGCAGCCCAGATGAGGCGCAAGCTGGAACGGCTCGACATCGCCATCAACCATGCGCGGCACGTGACAGGTCCAACAAAAACCGATCCAGTACAAGGCGGTCCACACCCTCCGCCCCAGCGCGGAGCTGAGTGCGATTGGCGGCCCACGGGGACTGCATCTACGGGAACACCCGCGGGAGTGGCAACACCGTATGAACTGCATACTGGAATGCCTACGGGCCACGGCGCCCAGGACAACGCCACCCACAAAAACGGCGAGGGCAACGACGCCTGCGGGATGGACAAACATCTACGGCGCACACAGCGAGGCCTACGGAAAAGTCAACGACACCTGCGACAAAGGCAGTGACGCCTACGGGGCCGACAACTACAGCAAGGGAAACTCCAATTTCGGGAGAGCCGACGCGAACCCCTCCGCGCACGACACCTACGGGAGCGCCTACGGAAAAGACACATACGGGAAAAGCAACGACACATCCCTGTGGGGAGGGCGACGACGCCAGCGGGAAAAGCAACGGCACCTCCTGGGGCGGCATCGACGGCAAGGACGACATTTACGGGGAAGGGCTAACGGCGCCACTTGGGCAATGCATATGACAAGGGCAGCGACGCCTGCTGTGAGGGCGCCACCTCTGGAGAAGGCAACGACACCCACGGGAAGGGCAACAGAACCTGCCGGAAGGACAACGACCTTTTCGCGAACGGCAATCGCGGTCGCGGTTCCTGCCGGGCCGCGTCCTCTGCCAAACCTGCGCGCGTGGGCAACGGAAGAGCTGAAGGGTAACGCTCTCGGGGCCAGCCGACTGGAAATGATCATGCGCGGTGGAAAAAAAACGATATTTTACAGTACGCGAAATATCACGAACTGTGTAGCACGACAACAACACGGGTACGTAGTCTGGCCGGACTAAATGCCCCAAAAACAAAAAAACAACGTTTGACTATATATATACTTAACAGGGCACGAGGCAAGGGATGGTTGGCAAGGTCACGTTCGACTCTGGTGCTCAAACGAGACTGGCGTGCCTCGACGGTTTACGCATGCAACCCACACCCAAACCAGCGAAGCAAAATCAAGCCAACAGCGTAGTGAGACAACCTTGACTTCACCAGGCTCTTCGAGAGAAAACAACCCTCTACTGACTAGGCAACTCGTACAGAAATTGCGAGGCTGAGGCCTTCTGCTGACAAGGCCTCCGCATAGCGTTGCACTGAAGAGAGGGCGCTGCCCCAAGAGGGTGCTGACTGGGACCCACAGAAAAAATGCGAGGTGGCAGGCGATTCTGCTGAAGCCCAAAGAGACTCAGTTTAATGCTGAAATGCCAGAATATTTCCCGCCCCACCCAACAGTTAATGATGGCAGCCCTCGCAATCATAGCTTCGCTCTCCTTGCACTCTCATTGGCCGCATCGCAAGTGCGTGCTACATAGTGCGCAGTATGCGGGCCACTGCGCCTTTGTTTTTTTTTCTCTCTCTCTCTCTCTCTATCTATCTGTCTCTCGCTCTCTATCTCGCTCTCTCTCTCTCTCTCTTTCTGATGGACTGCGTCGCATTCGCCAACATAGTTCGCGATGTGCGCGTCGGCCGTTGCATTCGCGGACGTACTCTAGTCATGCGACGCCGAGTGGGTTTCCCACTAGCGTCGTCGTTGTTCCTGTTGAGGTCGCTGTGGCGGGAGCTGGGCACCGTTTTGCGCGGCTCCTCGCTCAGCCTCAACGGGGCGTTTGTATACGAGCCCCCCCTTCACGGTGTCGAAGGTGGGCTCTCGGCCAACACGCCCCTCCGTCATGGGGTCAGCCCTCATATCGCGGACATCGCGCCACAGGGCGTTGGAGACCTGTCTGGTGCGCAGCTGGCCTGCTAGCCACCATAGGCCGCCTGCCGTGCGATTCTCTGATGGCGGCCGCGCGTGGTCCATGGCAATTGCGAAAAAACGGACGCGCCGCCCGCGACCGCGCAGCCCCCCTCCCGCCCCAGCCCCCTGATCGCATCTGCCAAGGCGGGTCCGCGCACCGTGCCGCGGAGCGTCATGAGGTGCGCCTGCAGGCCGCGCTGCGGGCAGCTCTGGCCCGAATGAAGATCGACACGCGGGATTGTGCGATCGGCTCACGGCGTCGAGCAAATGGCATCTGCTCACAAGTGCTGCGGAACCTGCTCAGACGCGCGCACGCGGCGTCGCGCGCGCCGAATCCGGTCTCCTACTCGCGCGCGAACGCGCCGTCGCTGTGCGCGCAGACCTCGCCGGCGCGCTCCGTCGCCGCGAAGGCGTCGCGCGCCTCGATGCTCTGCGCGGCCAGAACGACAGAGTTGAGCTGCATCACGCGCCCGATGAGCAGCTTGTTCCCGGCCCGCTGCAGCGCGACGACGCGGGCGGCAACGCGGCGTTGCGCGAGTAGCGCGCAGGCGGCCGCTCCGAAGAGGGAGACAGCGAGGTCTGGGAGTGGACCTCTGGCCGGCTCGTCGGCCATCGACTTGACCAGGTCAACGTGCCCGACGGGGACCAGCGCGTCGATGTATTCGTCCGGTCGAGCGTCACTGCGCCATCGGCACTGCAGTGCTGGCGGGCTCCGCAGTAGGTAAAGTCGTCGCAATGCCCTGTCTCTTGCCAAAGACGCTCTCGACGTGGCCGATGAGTTGATCGACGCGCTCCTGGCGCCCCGCGAGCTTGGGGTCGCCAGCGCGGCTGGAGAGAGAGAGAGAGAGAGAGAGAGAGAGAGAGAGAGAGAGAGAGAGAGAGAGAGAGAGAGAGAGAGAGAGAGAGAGAGAGAGAGAGAGAGAGAGAGAGAGAGAGAGAGAGAGAGAGAGAGAGAGCACTAACTCTGAACCGCGAGCACCACAGGCGCTGGACGCCTCATGTTTGACTTCGGGCGTAAGGGCACGCCGCGTCGGCTCGGCGCTGCACTTGGGCGAGCGCGTGACCCTGGCGAGCCTTGTGGAAAAAGCTCTGGGCGCATCCTTGCAGCCCGTGCCCGGCTCGATGCAGCGCAGGCACTCGGTCTGCTCGTCGA